CATTAAATTCCAGTGAAATATATTTATGTTTGTGGTTGTAATGTGACAAAATATGGAAAAGTTCAAGGGGTATGAATACTTTTGCAAACCACTGTAAATACAGGAGTGAAAGAGGGAATGGTTGTTTGTCTCTTTGTGCCCCTGTCATGGACTGGAGACCAGTCTAGGATGGATGGATGAGTGGTGGGTGGATGGATGGACAAAACACTAGACCTTATAGAACAGGTCTAGTCTCTAAGATATCAAATAGTGCAATGATGAAGCAGAAAAAGTTAAYAGGTACCTCTAGATGTTGGCAAATGTAGTCTAACAACTCAAACAAAGATGAGACATAAAAATAAAAAAAATGTGGCRTGAGAGCATATAAAACCGTGAGAGCATATAAAACCCTCAGATAAGTGTGTCTCACTCTCAGTGCGTGACACTTGAGAGCCCTGTATAACACAAACGTGTGCGCGCACACACACCTACCTTTACCAGCTGCTGTTAGCTTCCTGCTAGCTGTCGTGTGGATGTGGTCTTTCCTCTCCCGGTCTTGGCAGTGTAAGAAAATTTGTATTCAATTAACTGAAATCGAGATGATAAACACAGATGTTAAATAAAATGATTTGTAGGAGGAATGAAGACCATACAACACCAGAATCTGGAATCTGAGTGGAGTTTTATTGCTGCTGCCTGCAGACAGGAAACCCACCCTGGCCATAAAACCAGAAGTTTACRTTTTTTATACAGTTTCTTCAATGYTTTCGCTCGCCCCCTCCTGGCCTACGGCTTGAGTCACAGGCATTCAGACACAATTTTCASCTAATGTATTTCAAGCGTTTATATATGTGTTGAAAAAATGTTTCGGACATGTAACTAGACCTATTTCAATCAAGACATAATAGATATACACTGTCAATATTTCAAAAAGGAGAAGTTAAGAATATAGTGTTGTGCTTCTAAAATCAGTACTAACCTACCTAACACTAAATTTCTTCACAATCCACCTGTTCACATGACCAAATCATGTGAACAGCAGTAAAAGGGGATAAATGTACATTTCCCTTTTGTAACCTCCGTCTTCTCATTTCTGATGCTGGCTCTTGAATATCCTCAGGTTAGAAATGCCAATTACAAGTGCAAGCGTGAGCTTTTAAAGATAAGTTTTCCCTGTAATGCTATGATCCACTGCTATGACCTCCTCACCAAGAGGAAAATGGAGAAGAACTAACTACTCGATCGTATCTGCTGCTTAGTGGACACAACGGCACGCACTAGAACTCACGTTTTATACCAGTAGATCACAGATGCTTTAACTTTACTTTTGTGACTTTTCACGGACTAGTAACTAGCAGCTAACGCTAAAAACAGGCAGTAAGCAGGGAGTGGAAGGGAAGAGCGTGGGAAGAATTTTACCAGAAAAACCGTGGCATATAGGCTATTGCAAAACCTTCCTCAATAATCTGTTAGTCACTCCTGTATCTCTTCTCCAAACACGGTTCCTTTTATCTGCATTAAAAGAAAAAGAGTAATATTGAAGATTATAAATAGTTCATTACCAATGGGATATTAAATCAGATATCTAATTCAGAAAGCCACTAGCATAACTTGCAGAGGTGGATATATAGACTTAATAGGCCTCATATGCAAGAACCGTTCATACGCACAGATTTGTTCTTAAGTTGTGCGTACGAGTGATTTAGGAG